GACCTTCTTCACACTGACTGGGATTCCAGGAATGCCAGAAAAGGATTTGTGGATGGCCTTACCCCTCTGTCTTCTGTACAGCACCACGTTTCTGGGCAATGTCACCATCCTAATTGTGATCAAAGTTGAACAAAGTCTCCATGAGCCCATGTATTATTTTCTGGCCATGTTAGCTGCCACTGACCTCAGCCTTTCACTGTCTTCTATGCCCACCATGGTCAGTGTTCACTGGTTCAGCTGGCGGTCAATAACTTTTAATGCCTGTATCACCCAGATGTTCTTCATCCATACCTTTGGGGGAGTGGAATCAGGGGTTCTGGTGGCCATGGCCTTTGATCGTTTTGTGGCCATCCGCTACCCTTTGCACTATGCTACCATTCTTACTCACGGTGTCATTGGCAAAATTGGAGCAGCCATCCTGCTGCGGAGCATGGGGGCTGTGCTCCCTGTGCCTTTCCTCATCAAAAGGCTACCTTTCTGCCACTCTACTGTCCTCTCCCATGCATACTGCCTCCATCAGGATGCCATGAGGCTTGCCTGTGCTGACACAAGTGTCAATAGTATCTATGGCCTGCTGGCGGTGATCTTCATTATTGTATTTGATGCCTTGATCCTTTTAGTCTCCTACATTCTAATCCTCCAGGCAGTATTGGGCATTGCTTCCCGGGAAGAGAGGGTCAAGGCTATCAACACCTGTCTCTCTCATATCTGTGCAGTGCTGCTTTTCTATGTGCCTCTCATTGGCATGACCTTGATTCATCGATATGGGAAGCATCTGTCACCAGTAACACACACATTCATGGCCAATGTCTACCTGCTGCTCCCTCCTGTGCTCAATCCCATTGTGTACAGTGTTAGGACCAAACAGATTCGACGGCGCATCATCCAGATGTTCTGTGGGGGCAGGGTTGGCCCTTAATGGTATCTACTATTTTTGTGCAAATGCAATCAAGTCAGAGAAGAGTATCAAATGTAGCACTGTCCTATAAAAATTCCTACAGAAATAGAAGAAATGTTCCAAATCTCTGCTGTTTAGTCCAATATCCAGAGGTCACACACAGGTATTGAGCAATTGAAAGTTTGCTAGTTCAAGTAAGGAACTGAATTGTAAATTTATTGAATTTGAGTTAATTTAAATGTAAATTTATCTGATTTGTTGTTGTTGTTGTTGTTGTTGTTGTTGTTTTTGGCCAGGGTTGGGTTTGAACCCACCACCTCCGGCATATGGGGCCGGCACCTTACCCCTTTGAGCCACAGGCACCGCCCTAAATATAACTTTATATAGTCATATGTAGCTAGTAGATATTGTATGGTATGGGGCAGTATGAATATAATGGAGTATGAAATGGTTTTGCATAAATTATTTTTATGAAAGCAATAATTTATTGCAGCATGATGAACGATGAACTTTTATGCTTCACAATAGTATATAAACTGTTTTTAAAGTTTATCATCAATATAATTCACTTATTTTGCCACATAGTTCTACAAATTTTGACAAATGCATACTTACATCACCAGTTAAAACCAAAATATAGAGCAATACTATTACTCCCTGAAATTCCTTAAAGTTGTCCATTTGTAGTCAACCCCTCTATCCACACCCAGCCTCTGGCAGGCACTGAGTCGTTCTCCTTCCCTGTAATTCTTCTTTTTTCATAGTGTCATGAAAACGGAAGCTCCCAATAAATAGTCTTCTATGCCTGGCTTCTTAATATAACGCATTTGAGATTTACTCATGTTGCATGTATTGCTGGTCTACTCCTCTTTATCACTGAGTGGTTTTCTGTCACATGCCACTGTTTAATAACTTTTTTGGAAACTATTCTAGCTTGTTCTTGCTTCATTATAATCACTCTGGTATTCAGTGCTTAACATAGAACATTTATTTTCTTTTGCCTTATGTATTTGTTTATAGGTTTTATAAATAATAAGGTCAGAATGTGTAAGAGGTTGGAAACAAGAAAGAAAATATTAAAAGGAACATAATGTGGACAAAGTATCAGAGCATGGAGCTGTCCAACAGGTGGAAAAATAAAGAATTCCTTGTGTGCTGTCGATGTCAATTTCAACTTCACTTCTGTCAGAGGACTTTCCTGATCCGCCTTTTAATATGTTAGGATTTCTGTCATTGTACTATTTATATGCTTATCTAACACTGTATGTCTCCCAGTCTTCTTCATGCTCCATAAGAGCCCAGAGCCTTTTGTTCCACATCGATGTATCCCATGCACATAATGTAGTTAAGAACATACAATGGACACTCAGTGTGTATTTTTTGAATTAATGAAAACTGCTCTTTATGAATATTGATTTCATGCTTCTTATCCTTTCTTTTCTCATTTAATATTCATAAATCTCATTTAAAATTTTCAGAGTTACTCATTTTTGCTGCTGGGAATTGGAGGAAAGGGTGATGTTTACCTAAGATCTGAGTACTATGTAACGTGTAATTTAATGGATTTTCTTGGTATTTCTAGACCCTTATTGGGTGAGACACTTTTTAATCACTGTGTCTCATACAGATATAGTGAGAAATAAATGGGAAACTATTTCAAGAGTATAAAAAACAAGGGAAAATTAGACATGATCAGGATTATTGATTTACTACTTCTGTGGAAAGTTGGATTCTGATCCAAATGTGACTTAAGCCAGATAGGGGCAGGCAGTTGGGAATTAAGTGATTTATAAGATGGATAGATTGAAGACCATATTTTTAAGACATATTTCCTGACTATATGGATGGAAATAATTGACTATAGAAGGGAATATATCATACTGGTTAAGATCAATAGTGTTGAAATTAGACAAACATGGTCTTGTACACCAATTCTGTAACTTGCTAACTTTTAGATGGATAAAGTGATTCAAAAACTGAGTTTCAATTTCCTCAGCTGTGAAATAATGGATAATAATACTTAACCCATTGGTTTGTCATAAATAAACAAGCCAAAGGCTATAGTGCAGTTTCCATTGTGTATTATGTATTCTTCAAATGTTAGGTTACTTATGCTTTGGATATAGTGGGCTGTGTCTATGACTCAAACAGGAAACCTTCTTAGGAGGGCCTCCCATGTCAGAGGAGGGAACAATCAAGGGGATAATGAGACCTGTTTGAAAGTGTACATATCTCAAGCAGAGGATGACTAACTCTTTCTGCCCTCTTCTAATCCAGCTCTGACATTCAGGGAGCCTTTCTGGCTGAAAATCTGTAGCCTAAGGCTGGAAGAAAACGAATGATTGTGGTTATTTGATCCAGGCAGGCAGTTTGCACTGATACCCATTACTGTCAGCCCCAGGGGCCAGGACAATGCTTCCAACCCCTGACAGATGGGGTTCGCTTGGGCCTGGGAGCATGGTTTGAGGTTGTGACTGGGAGATAGGCCATTGCAGAGGAACATATGCAGGTGGGTCCCATCACTCTTACTCTAATCAGCATACTTACTAATCAAGAAAAAGCACCTTATAGCCTGGGAGCTCTATTAGGCTTCCTATAAAGCCCCTACTCTTGGGAGCTGGTTTAGTACCTGCTCTGTGATAGAGCTGAAGAGAAGTTGGTGGTGTGTCCTGCTGGTACAATCAAGCAAGGAGACTGACTATATGGGAAGAATTAAAGAATTAAGAATGGTAGAAAGATGGGGGGAATACAAAGCAAAAGATGAATGAAAGCTACAATTAAGATGGCATAAAGAAATGGCATGCTTTCTCTGTGGCCATAATTGTTCAGCAATCAATCAACATTATGAAATGAAGCTTTATATTGTTCTAGATCCTGCTTTAGTAGCTAGGAGTGACAGATGAAAAATATGTACACATAAACTTCCAAGGAAATCTCACTCCTGGCAGAAAAAAAGATGACATTGCACATATAAATTACCAATATTAGCTGTGCCTCAATATTAAGAATCAAATTAAAGTTCCCAAGATTAAGTGGTGCCAAAATTTAGAAGCAGAGAAGAATTTCAGTTTAACAATTCCTGGATCTGTCAAGGAAGATTGTTAATTTTGAAGGAAATAGATAGAATTCAGTGTTGAGAAATAAACAGAAGACAAGGATTGATAAATGAAAAGGATGGGTATCTATCATTACTGATGTCAGCAAATGGGAATGTTGACCTTTAGATCACTAAGTTATTGATCTGGGTGTTAACTAAGTCCTATCACCTAGTTACTCTTTTATGTATGAATGGGCAGATATTACCCTCTGCCTGGATGGTCAAATGGACATTTCTACTTGAAGATAGAAAGCACTAGCCTATTCTTCTGGTTAGTGGGCACTGTAGAGAAAACCTTAGTGAACATTCAACTTTGACCTACAACTGGCTCCAGGGTGCATGACCTCACAGAGAGAAAGGCCTCTGCTCCTTCTTCCTTCATTCCACAAGAAACATTTCCCCAGCAGCAAAAGGAGCCAGTGTATCCTATTCTCCTATGCTGCTACACAGTATCCAGTGCCACTTGTTTGTCCTGTATGAAGTATCATTCCAAGAATGGAAGATAAACAATATGTTCTTTGTGAGGGTTTTATGTCTATTTACTCTTTCACCCCAAAGCTCCCCACTACACGCATCAGCACATGGAGACACGTGTAATACGAACGTACTTGGACATTGACTCACATTTTTAAACACACTGGACTCCACAAACATTCTTCTTTAGATGAGTCATAAAGACACAGTTCTCTCTCTTATTTGTTTTCATCTCTTACCTTGTCTATAACATATGGATATGTAATAGATAATTCAAACTTTTTTTGTATTCTAAAAGGAGGAAATTACAATGTCTAGCTATCCAATTTGTATATAAAACCAGTACAATGTACCCCATGACTGCATTAATGTACACAGCTATGATTTAATAAAAAACAAAACAAAAAACCATAAAAAACCCAAAGTGCCTCATCAGTCCTGTTAGCCTGTTCTTTCTGATGGTGTGAAGTTTAGTGAAAAATAATGAAAATCTGACTTTGAATTTTGAATCTGTATCTGTCTCTTTTACCTTGGATGTATTTTTTCATCTTTCTGGATTCATTTTCTTTCTTTAAAATGGGAGGAAAATATTTACCTCAAAAATGTCCTGGAATTATATAAAATTACCTATAAACTGGTGAGCCTAATGTATTGCTCATACACAGAATCTTAAATTAGTTTCCTTTTCTCTTAGTCTACCCTACTTCTTCTCCCGATTAGGGTGAGAGGATGATCATTCTCTTTGTGGTGTCTAGGGAAGTAATTTCCCCAGGATTTATTTTTCTCTAAAAACTTGCAGGTTCAATCTATACCTCATTCATCTATTCTTCATCCAGATCTCTACCATCTACAATGTATCCATTTAACAATACATCTAATGTTAACTGGATTATTTGAGCTTTTATCATGTGCCAATTACATCTTTGTCTCTAGATAAAATATAAAGATGAACAGGATATGTTTTGTTTTTTGAACGAGCCAGCAATCCAGCAGGGAAAAGAAATGTGATCAGGCAAGAAAACATGTTATAAAAGCAAAAATGAAATACTATTGGAGAGAATAGATTTTGTGTTGCAGAGAGATTCCTGGATGGTTATCACAGACGAAGAGACTCATTCTTACTATCTGTTTTTATCAGGCTGAGAAGAAAAAGAATGAAATAGAAATCTCAACAGCCTCCTGCTTTCCTGTCCTAGCTCTGGGATCTTCTCTCCTTTCCCCTGAAATAGGATCTCTCCATGAATGTTTTGCCCTGGCTTCTCGCCCCATTCACTTCTGCTAGATTGAGAGACTTCTGAAGGCAAAAATTGTTTCTTTATTCACTTCTGTCTCCCTGACCCTCAGCACAGCCACTGTCCTTAACAATTGTCATTCAGAGTTTGAGTGTTTGATTCAATTCAGCATGTTTGAAATCTATATCTCATTTGGCCCTAGTTTTCCTGATTTGTAGCGCTTTTCCCCCACTAAATGTGGACATGTATAATATAATAATACTGAAAGTTATAGCAATAAAAGTGATTAGATTTCTCTCATTGTCATAACAGGTAGCTATTTTTATTACCACCTCAAAGAAAAATAGTCAGCATTGCCTCATATTTGACATTATGTAACAAAGGGCATCCCGGAAGCAGCAAATTCCTTCTGTCTGTTCTGTTGCCAGTGCCGGAAACCTGGACTAGTGAAGGATGAGGACACGTGGGGATGGCAGTGTCCACACGGCAACCTGCCCACGTGTATCACTCACCCCTTGCTGGCTCTTTGTTGATGACTAGTTGGCCTAAGCAAAGTTTTTATTTTTTAGGTTTTAGTTTTTTTAATTTTTTTGCTAATGGCCTGAATAGAATCACAATGGTCACCTTACAATAAATCACAGCCCCTGTCTTCCTTATGACTCCATTTCTGTTTACTTTCTAGCTGTCATTCGATGGGCTTTCTCATCCACTGAACTAGTTGATGCTCTAATTTGTGGCGGCACCTCAGCCTGCCTATCCCTGAGTTACTCCCTTTTCTTTGGTCCCTACTTTCATCCTTTTCATGATTTTTCTAAAGCTGTTCATTATATGTTGCTGAGTGCCTCTCATGCAGTTCCCTATGTCCATCTTTAAGTGATCTCAAGTCCATTTAAACTTGAACATAGCCTGGCCTGGAAAGATAATTTTGCTAACTTACCTAGGATAATTCTGTTATTGGAACTCTTTTACTCACAACAGAAACAAAACTAGGCAGGAGGAATGCAGAATTTGGTCTTGGATCCTCCCAATAACAAAAAGATGCACATGTTATGGCTCTATCATAATATAATCAATGAAGTAAGACACGGTCTCCCCAGTGACCTGTTGAATTACTGTCATGAATTAACAAAAGTTCAGACCTGGGGTAGAAGTTGACATGGCAGGATATTTTCCTTAGGCTTACCTACTAAGCATGATCAGGATGACTAAAGTTATATATTCCAGGAAAAATGTTTGAAATCCTGACAGGATTCATTAGGACAGCCTACTCACAGTGAGTAGGAAGGAATGGGGAGGAATAGAAACAGGAAACCCCAAAATGTAACAAGGAGAAAGGAATAGGACCCAGTTATTTGGGGTGACCTGGAAAACTAGACAGAGAAACAGACATGGAGAACAAGATAAATTCAAGTCTCATGAACATGTGGAGTAGAGATTATTAGGAATTATTCCAAAATGGGAAATGGAATAGAGAAGTCTTGATATTATAAGGAGACTTCTAATTAAAGACTGTGAGGAAAGGGCAGCCCATAACTTAGGGACAAGGATACCTCTGTATACGATATTCCAGGCTGGCTTCCAGCAAGGACACCAGGAATATATCACCACAGGTGCGCAGAGTGATTCTTATGTACTTTTCCATTAATTATGGAGCAACTTATATAACTTGGAGACTTAATACAAAGGCCTATTAGGTTGTAATTGTGACTGTTGTTACTTTGTTAGTATGTGTGCATGTGTGCAACCTAAGTCTATATGCATTTCCTATTTAAAGCCAGGGCTAGTCTAAGTAATAGCATGAGGATATGTTCAGGAAAATTGATGGTTATATTCAGGACAGACTAGAGGCAGTAGTATGAGGCTAGGTTCTAACAAGAAAAATCCAGGAAACTGCAGAATTTTGCGATAGGTACAGTAATAAGATTGGGGATTTTCAGCAAAAAGATACAACTATATCATTTGAGAAGGGTTTATGGACTGGTTAGGATTTAAAAGGATCATTATAACAGATATTTTTCTTTTTCTTTTCAGGGTGTGTCCTCTACCTACCATGCTAATTTTCGATAATACCACCTCCTCCTCCTCATACTTTCTCCTCACTGCATTTCCTGGGCTGGAACGTGTTCATGTCTGGATCTCCATTCCTGTCTGCTGTCTCTACACCATTGCCCTCTTGGGAAATAGCATGATCCTTTTTGTCATTGTTATTGAGCGGAGTCTGCACAAACCCATGTACTATTTCCTGTCCATGCTTTCGGTTACTGACCTTTGTCTGACCATCACAACCCTTCCCACTGTGCTTGGTGTTCTCTGGTTTCATGCCCGGGAGATCAGTTTGAAAGCCTGCCTCCTTCAAATGTTCTTTGTGCATGCCTTCTCCTGGCTGGAGTCCTCAGTGCTGGCAACCATGGCGTTTGATCGCTGCCTGGCTATCTGTGACCCGCTGAAGTATGCTACTGTCCTCACAGATATGATGGTCGTGGTAATTGTACTGGTTGTCTGCATACGCCAACTACTTTTCTCAAGTTCTATTATTGTAGCCTTACAGACTATATCTTTTTATGGGGGTCAAGAGCTTTCCCACCCATTCTGTTACCACCCAGATGTCATCAAATACACACATTCCAACCCCTGGATCAGTAGTTTTTGTGGGATGTTTATTCAGCTCTACCTTAATGGCACTGACTTGCTCTTTATTCTTTTCTCCTATGTCCTGATCCTCCGTACTGTGCTGAGTACTGTGACTCCAAAGAAACAGCAGAAAGCTCTCAGCACTTGTGTCTGTCACATTTGTGCTGTCATTGTCTTCTATGTTCCAATGATCAGCCTGTCTTTTGCACACCGTCTCTTCCGCTCCACCCCAAGGGTGCTGTGTAGCACTTTGGCCAATGTGTATCTGTTCCTGCTACCTGTCCTGAACCCTATCATTTACAGCTTGAAGACCAAGACAATCCGCCAGGCTGTGTTCCAGCTGCTCTGATCCAAGGGCTTGCAGAGGCTTTGTGTGAGGGGTCCCAAAGAAAGGTAGGATTGAAGGGAGATGAAAATTGTTGAGATATAAAAATAAAGTTCAGTAAGGGAAAGAATTTGGGGCAGTGTCATCAAATGCTGTTTCTGCATTTATTGAGGGGATTCATATGGTCTTTGTTTTTGCTTCTATTGATATGGTGAATCACATTTATGGATTTGTGTATGTTAAGCCAGCCTTGCATATCTGGGATGAAGCCTACTTGATCGTGATATATATATATTTTAATGTGTAGTTGTAATCTATTGGGTAAGATATTGTTGAGTATTTTTCCATCAATATCCACTAGTGAAATTGGTTTGCAGTTCTCCTTTTTAGTTGGGTCCTTTCCTGGTTTTCATATCAGAATGAGGTTTGCTTCATAGGATGTTTGGGGGCAGGATGTTTCTTCTTGATGTTTGGGAAAAGAGTCTGCAGTATACATACAATCTCTGAAGGTTTGCTAGAATTCTGGTGTGAAGCTGTGTGGTCCAGGGTTTTTTGGGGGGGGGGATTTTTCATTGTTTCTTTGATTTCAGTGCTTCATATGGATCAGTTCAAGAGATTTATTTTTTTATGATTAAGTCTAGGGAGAGGGTGTGATTCCAGATATTGGTCCATTTCTTTCACATTATCCAATTTCTGGGTGTAGAATTTCTTGTAGTAAAGATAATCTCTTGTATCTCTGTGTTATCTGTTGTTGTTTCCCCTTTTTTGTTTTTGATTGAAGTTATGAGTGATTTTACTTTTCTGATTCTAGTTAATCTGGTTAAGATTTATAGATCTTGTTTATATTTTTAACAAACCATCTTTTCATTTTATTAATTTTCTGAATGATTCTTTTGTTTTCAATTTTATTTCTTTATGATTTAATTTTGGTTCTTTTCTTCTGCTAGTTGTGAAATTGGGTTCCTTTCCTTTTTCATTTCCTTGAGATGATTCATTAAGTTGTGGATATGCTCTCTTTCTGTTTTAGGGATTTAGGCATTTATTATGATGAATTTCCTTCTTGGGACTACTTTTGCAGTATCCCCACAGGTTTAGGTAGCTTGTGGTTCCATTGTTGTTATGATCAAGGAATTTAATAATTTCCTCCTTTATCTCTTTATCTCCTCCTTGACCCAACTGCCATTCAGCATAAGGTTATTTAGTTTCCATACATCTCTTTGGGGATGAGAATTTTTATTGGAGTTGAGCTCCATCTTTATTTCCTCATGATCTGAAAAGATATAAGGTATAATTTTAATTCTTTTGATTTTGTTGGATTTAATTCATATCTTAGGATATGATCTATTTTGGTGTATATTCCATGGGCTGAGAAGAAGAATATACATTTCTTAGCTTTGGGATGACGTGTTTTATATATGTCTATTAAGCCCAATTGTTCTAGGGGGGTTTAAGTCCCTTGTTTCTTTATTTAGAAACAAGGATCAGTCTAGTTCTATCAGAGCAGTGTTAAAGTCCCCAGAAATTATAGTGTTATAGGATATTATATTTCTCACACCAATTAAAGTCAGTTTCATAAATCTGACAGCATTTAAGTTGGGTGAGTAACCATTTAGGAAAAAAATGTTTCTTCTTGTATTATTCCCTTGGCCACTATGAAGTAACCAGAATTTTGTGAGTTTAAATAAGATTCTATCCAGGTGTGGTGGCTCACACTATAATCTTAACACTCTGAGAGGCTGAGGCAGGTTGATTGCTTGAGCTCAGAAGTTCAAGGCCAGCCTGAGCAAGAGGGCAACACCATCCATACTAAAAATAGAAAAAAACGAGCCAGGAATCGTAGTGGGTGCCTTGAGTCCCAGCTACTTGGGAAGCTGAGGCAAGAAGATTACTTATGCCTAAGAATTTGCAGTTGCTGTGAGTTATGATGCCAGGACACTCTACCTAGGGTGACAGAGAGACTCTATCTCAGAAAAAAAAAAATAAAATGAATTCTAGGACTGGGTTTGGAGCAAATGAAATAGTCACAGAGTTGGTCATATACTAGGTGAGGGTACTTGGTATTTTCTGAGGACTTTAGGAAATTGTATAGATTAATGTTAATATTAATATTTTAAAAATATTAACAGTCTATTGCATGTTATCATGTTTTTAAGCCCAGACATCAGTGTTCCTGGATGTGGAGAGGGCTTACACAGTAACTGAAATAGACAGTAGGCATGAAGATCTATGAGCTGGAAAATTAAAGACCATTTTCCTTAGAGAGTGCCACATTATAGCAGAGGCTCTGACCCTGGAATTAACCTGGGGCAGAGGAGACAACCCAGATCAAACCTTAATCTTAGCAGCTTACTCTTCTAAATCAGTTCTTTCAGATGTCTCTGCTTTTATAATTGCTTCTTTTGAAGAGTTTTCTAAAAGTTTGTCTTGGTAGATCTATAATTGTCTACATACAATTCAGAAATTTTAAAGCATCTCAAAAACAATAGCTTTTCTAAATTATTTTAACATTAGAATAAAAAATTATTGGCTGGCTCGGCGCCTGTAGCTCAAGCGGCTAAGGCACCAGCCACATACACCTAAGGTGGCGGGTTCGAATCCCCAGCCCGGGCCCGCCAAACAACAATCATGGCTGCAACCAAAAAATGGCCAGGCGTTGTGGCGGGTGCCTGTAGTCCCAGCTACTTGGGAGGCGGAGGCAGGAAAATCGCTTGAGCCCAGGAGTTGGAGGTTGTTGTGAGCGTGATGCCATGGCACTCTACCCAGGGGGACAGCTTGAGGCTCTGTCTCAAAAAAAAAAAAAAAAATTATTGGCTAAAAAACGAACAAGAAATAATATGAATATATATACGGATTATTATTTATTCTATACATTTCAATTCAGAAATATTGTTATATTGTTATGTTTGAATGCAGGATGATGCCTCAAAGGTTGCATGACCTGTCTACATGTAATGTATTAAAAATTATGAACTGCAAGGATTTTGGATGAAAAATTGTGAAAATGTGCAATAATTTCTTTCAGTTTTATGACAGCATCTTAGGCAGTCCATTTTTTGGGTCTGTTAATCTTTTCCTACTTCAATTGTACTTTTCACGTCTGACTCAAAGTGTAACCTTACTCAATACCAAAAACATTTTCATCAGTGTACTTTCATTTCTATAGTAATTGCTAATAAGATATGAATTCGTGTTTTGTATTATTTCCAGCAGTGTATTGAATGTATTTGAAGTTTTCTTCTGATTATGTCATATATATATTATGTATTATACAATGTATGTCATATGTTATATGTTATATACAATTGTCTTAATACATTGAGAAATAAAGAAAATTATTAAAAATGTTAAAAATACAATAAAGTTATTCATAACTCTATTGAGAGATTGTATAATATAGTCGTGCACTCCATCTGACATTTCTGTCAATGACAGACTGCAAGTGTGACTACTGTCCTCTAAGATTATAATACCCACATTTTCTTGTAACTTTCCCATGTGTATATATGTTTACACATACAAACACCCTACCATTGTGTTCCAACTGCCTACAGTATTTAATACAGTAATATGCTACACAGTTTTGTAGACTTGGAGCAATAGGCTATACCATCTAGGTTTGTATATAAGTGCACTCTATGATCTCCCATGATGATGCGTATTTCAGAACAAATACTGTTATTAAGCAACTGTAACTATACAGGACCTAATTTTTTTAAATGAGCTAACTAACATATTTGCACCCATTTATATGTTTATAAATTGAGATAATAGTTTATATCTAAATATTTATCTTATTTCCTTGATTTTATTCATTATTCTCTATTAAATAATAGCATTTTATATTAGATGTTACTTTCTATAGAAGGCTTTCCTTTGAAAGGCATAATACCACTCTTTTCTGTATGCTTTCTTGGCTGTTTGATTATCCTTATGGTGCTTTATTCAGCATATTGAATTATTTATTTCCTTCTCCCCACCACCACACTCTTAGCTCCTTGATATTAGTCCCTATGTTTCATTTAAGCCTTCATTCCTAATATAGGGTTTAGAAAATGACACTTAGTTGGTGATGATGTGCTATATTGTTGAATAACATTTCATCATATTTATATATCATGGGTTATGTTGCTATTTCCTGTAATTTAACATTTCAGTAACACTTTGTATATTGATTATGCTCTTAAGATTCCTAGAAATGTAAATGATTAACTTTAGAAGGAGTCAAAATCTCTGTTGGTCTGTAGTGGCTGAAGTTGTAGGCTCTGGGATCACACTGTATGAGTTTAGATTCCATCTTTTTATACTTTAGGCCTCTATAACCTTGGAAGAGAATGGCTTAAGTTAAATCTTTAACTCCTAATCCAGAAAAATGGGGAAGTAATCAAAATAGGCTTTTCCATAGTCTTCCAAAAGTTAATGATGTTAATTCTGGCAAACACATACCCAATGCCTGGCACTGGATATACCTTCTTACTATCTGCTAAATTAGACTATTTAATTCATTGTTTTTCAATAAAAACATTTAACAATTTTTCTTTTCACTTTTCCATTGTATTATGTAATTATAATTGTTCCTAATCATAAATGGTTTATTTACTTTCATTTCATTAGACTTTTAAAGTTACCTTTGAACTTAACTGTTAATTTATTCTTGTGTGTGATAAAATCTCACACACACAAACGTAAAATTTTAAATAGGTTGTCATTTTTCCTACCTGTATTATTTGACTCATCAATTTATTTTGGGCAATGTTGTAATATTCTTTGATTGTATCTTAATTGTTCAGTTATTATATGGTATATTACAGAGTGTTTATTATATTTTTTTGTTCTGCTCATTGTTTTTTGTGTAAATAACATAATCTCACAGCTATCTAATAAATGTCATTGTCATGTTGAATTTTATTATTTATAAATTTATTTATAGTTTGTATTGTATTTATTTTATCATATAGTCTCCAGTTTAGTCTTACAACACTATTTTTAGAATTACATTGTTAATTACCAAAGAAATATTACTGGAA